CATGGTCGTAGGCCCAATTGTTATATATATTTTTAGTAAAATAATATTTTAATTATATTATTTATTTTTTCCCCTGAATTTTCTATGCGCAATACGTGGCTTTTTATAGAAATTGGAAGTTGCTGACAGTTTTAACCGCCTATCCAAATGAGTTGTGTCTGGAACAGACACAGCTTTTCGGCTCTTGTGTCTTTTGAGTACAACCTTTCAACTTCTATAATTCACAAAATATTTTCTTTCGATTTAAATAACAACAAGCGTACGGTTCGTTAACAAATAATAAAGTGAATTTTTAGAATCCGAATATCGTCCAACAGAGATTGAGTAGTTCAATTATATTTATCTCGGCCTTAACCGAATCTAAATAATCAATTATGAGTTTTTATCCTAAAAAATCCTAAATCTAAGCTAAAGTACCAATATTATGAATTGGATGGTATGCTATGTAAAACAACGTTTAATTTAACTAAAATGCAATTTGATGTTAGGGACTCGGGTTAAATGTATTCAATGAATGAGAGATATACTATGATCACGAATTTTCAAGTAATGTTCAATTTAACCTTAATTCCATACTTTGACAATATGATGAAATTTTGAAGATTCAATACTCCTAAATCTATCGAACACTCTCTCTCGAGATGAATTGTACCTATTCTCATGCACCACCAGCCAATATTTCTATGACGGATGCAAATACACAAGAATGCATGTAGTTTTGTGAGTACTTAGAGATTCACGCAAAGCATAGGGGTATATTTCTATCCCCTATCGATCCCTATGATGATATATACATTCTCGAATTTATTCCTATTCTTTCGAATAGATGAAAAAACCACCAAAACTCACACAATTATGGGCCCATAATCATGGAGGTAATTAAATGCATATAAATCATTCAAAACAATCAATACGTATTTTAATGTCAAAAATACAAAACAAAGAATTAAATATCATATTACAGGGTTCATTGATCTCCTAGTATAAATTTTTCTAGCCTAACATGATAGGAAGAAGAACATAACAATAAAAATCAAGAAAAGATGTCACCCTATTGATTTCTTGAAGTGGAACCTTGAATTTTGGATTGAATCTTCTCGTTTTACCTTCTTTTTCTATTCAAATCCTCCCAAAATAATGTATAATGCGTGGTCTATATTTTTGGACGTCCCTAGGGCTTTTAAAAAGTTTCCCAAGATTTGTTTCAATAAGAATTTCATTCAGAAATGGAAATCAGATTTTCTCGCCGCGATTGACTTGGGCTGTTGCCAAGGCAAAACTCGGACAGTCGCTCGGGCAAAAAAAAAATTTCTTGGTAATTAAAAAAATCATATTGGGTGATCGCCCAAGCAAAATTTCTTTCATATGTTGCATTTTAGCCCCTGAAGTCGATTTTTTATTCTTTCAAGTCCTTTTTCTTGCATTTTCAACCCTTTGACTTTTAATTGCATCCAATTGAACCCGCAATATATTTAATCTTCATTTTATGATCCGAATCAACTACTAAAATGTTGCAACTTAGTTCTCATACTTTGGATTTTCTTCATTTTTGGTTCTTTTTCGTTTCTTTTCTCTTGAATTCCACCACATTTATCAATATAGTCCTACAAAATATAATTACATAGAATTAAGCTATAATTCAAACTCTTTGATCATAATTAAGTCATGTTTGTGAACTAAATAAGTGTGCAAAAACACACTTACTAGACCCTAGATCCCTGTTTTTGTTTATTCCAAAATTTCTTCTGATTTGCTCTGTTGTAAAATACTGTCTTTCTGTCCTGCAATATTCTATATTTTGCATTTTCAGTTTTAATTATTAATTTCGTGCATTTTAGTCTTTCGATTTTCGAGAGATCAAAATATTAGTAGGTTCATCGGGTCTTGTATTTTGGAGTGCTACTATTACAAGTCGAGGTAGTTGTATCTTAGAAGACGAGTGCCAGGAGACCGTCAGTACCAGTGCGGGGCATTATCGTTTGAAGGAGAAAGAGTTGAACTCTTGCTTCAACCATTACCATTCTAATTTTATTAAGCTCATTTTATAAGTCGAAATTTTGCTCAACTGTTTATTCACTATATATTTATATAAATTACAGCACAGTATTCTCGAATTTTATTCAACAATCTTAAGACAATATATATGTTTACGTGCTAATTTATATTCCGAAATTTTTTTAAGACTATGACAAGTAATACCACATCAGTCATACCCTCAATAATGCTCATGAGGAGAAAATCGAAAAAATTCAAAGGAGTGGATTTTAAAAGATGGCAACTGAAAATGTTATTTTATCTCACAACTCTGAATTTGATAAAATTCTTGAGTGAAGATGCTCTAACTGTTGAGGAGAAAGAAACAGGTCCTAAAAAATGAGCGGCGTTCGATGCATGAAGTTATAGTGACTTTTTGTGTAAAAACTATATCCTCAATTGCCTTGACAACTCACTATACAGTGTATACAGTTCGATCAAGACAGCTAAATTACTGCGGGAATCATTGGAAAAGAAGTACAAAATGGAAGATGTCGGATTGAAGAAATTTGTTGTAGGCAAATTCCTAGATTTCAAAATGATATATTTTAAAACAGTAATGAATCAAGTCCAATAACTGCAAGTCATCTTGCATGAGATACATGCAAAATGTATGAAACTCAATGAGTCATTTTAGGTCATTGCGATTATTGAGAAATTACCTCAAATGTGGAAAGACTTAGAGAACTACCTAAAACATAAACGCAAAAAAATGGGATTCAAAGATTTGATCGTAAGATTAAGAATTGAGGAAGATAATCGAAATTCTGAGAAAAAATCTAGAGGTAAAGTGCTCATGGAGTCGACAGCCTGACATCGACGTAGAGTGCTCATGGGAGTCGACAGCCTAGCATAAATGTGAAAGGCCTCACTCTTTTGGTCATTGTAGACGACTATGATTATTATCCAATATCAAATTGTTAAAGTAAGAACCATTACCAAACAATTTCGATAAAACTGCATAAACAAGTATGCAAAATTATTTTGTGATGAAAAGCCATTTATGAACACATTTTATTTTTTATTATCTAAAAATCAAATTTTAAGGATGGTTAAAGTAAGAACCATTGTAAAAAGTAAAATTACATTGCCAAACAATTTTGATAAAACTTGCATTAATAAATATGCACAATTCTTCCCAAATTAATTACGTTTTTATAAAAATTATTTTTCTCTCTTTTCTCCTCTCAATGATTTGATAGATGAATTTGATTGAGACCCTGTTTGGTAGTATTTTTACCTAAAAAATTGATTTTTTTCATAATTGTTTCATTATTCTAACCGTAATTTTTGATTTCTTCTCTTACAGGTGGCCCCTACTTTTTTCCTAACGGTAAAAAAATCAATTCTCAAAATTACTATTGAGCAGGCCCAAAAACTTAATTAACTGTTTTAGGTCTATTAAAAACCATTTAAAATCAATCTACAACCAAAAACGGTCCCATAAAATTTATGATAGATCTAGACCTCCAGATAAACTTAAATTGAGAATTGTTATTATTTTTCAAATTCAGCAGTGAGAATAATCTACTCGTTTAATCTGCAATCTAAATTCATATATATTTGACAGTTAATGCAAAACGTTACAAATGACTCAATAATTTAATTTTAGATAAAATATCGATCGCGAGGGTCTCGTGCTTAAGCTATGGATTCCCATAAACATGTGTCAAAATATTCTTGCTTAAGTCGTGATTTTTCAATTTTTGTCTTAAAAATCACATCAAAGTTAGAACATAAGAATAATGATATTTGTTGTCACTCACTACTGTAATCGTCCTACGCGACATACATGTGGCCAGAGAGAATTTAGGTGGTGGCTAGTTAGGGCAACTGCCCTAACTGGATTTGCCGGGAAGAATTTTTTTTTATTTTTTTTATAATAGATAAAAATTTTAAGTTATACAACTAATAGTTCATTTTATTTTCAAACCTCTTCTTTGTGTAGTTGGTTAGAGCTTTCATTTATATATTACAAGTCTTAGGTTTGAGTCCTTCCCATCCGTTTCATTGTGCAAAATTTTTATTTCTACAATATTTACCAAAATTAATTCCCTAAAGAAATGAACTTATAACCTCTAGGTAGGATGATTGAAAGCTTAACTATCATGGCAATTGTTGAATTTTAAATCTAAATTTAACAAAATAATATGTGTTAAGACTCTAGGCGAGTCAATGACTATTTTTTTTTTGTTGGTTTTTGTCGTTTTAAATATTTTATGCTTTAATAATTTATAAAATATGATTTATGAGTATTGAGTTTTAATTTATATGTTATTTGAAAATTTAAAAATTTATCTATTGTGAATTATGATATTAAAAATTAATTTGAATATCGTAAAATATGAATATGTGATTTATGAAAATCGAAAATAAGAAATTGGGATATTTATAATTTGTGATGAATTGGTGATGAGAATTGGAAATTGAAACTTTCATTATATTTTAAAATTAATTTTAATTACGTTTAATTTTTGACTAACATTCAATTCTTATACTGATTATGGAATGATTTTTTCAACTGAATCTCAATCTAATTCTTGTAGTGGTGTATCTAATATCTCAACTACTTTTAGTCAAACAAACAATTTGTTAAACATTGATAACACAAAGAAATCTTATGTATCATGTAATTTATATTATTTCTATTGTATTGAATTATAATATGGTATAAATATACGATTATTACATTTTAGTTTAATATTAATATAGATCGAAATTTTTTTAATATTATTTAATTTAATATTAATAAACGACATCGCTATACGATTGTTGACTATCGACAGTCAACGGGCAGATAGTGATTTGATGTATATGACAATAAAAAATTATTATATTAATATATCAAATCACAAACCGTCATATAGGATGTCAAGTAAACGATTATCGTAGTGAGTTCAGAAAATAACTTCCAATTTATTTATTTATCTTATTTCAAGCACAAGGGCGCGCTAATTGTTATCTTAGGTAATCCAATGCAGTTTCCCAGTGCGTTTGGGTCTCCTCTATACTTGTCCTACAGCAAAATCCATTCAATTTCCATCTAACAAAACCCTAATCCCGTAATCCTTCAACATGGGAAAACTACCACGAGAGATCATAGCGGAGATTCTTTCTTGGATGCGTGTCAAATTCCTCTTGCGTTTCAGGTGCGTTTCGAAGCCATGGTGCTCTATAATAGACAGTAAAGATTTCGTAAAATTGCATTTGAATCACGCCGGGAAAACTAGTTCCAATTGTAGTCTCATTCTTGACGGCTTGGATGATCATTTTTGCTTAAGTTTAGATTCATTGAACCGCATAGACATTGGATCTTTTCCAATTGAGAATCACATCATTTTAAACTCATGCAATGGATTAGTGCTTCTGGTTTCTGACAAGCCTTTATTGTGGAATCCTTCAACGAGGAAAGTTAAGAAATTACCTTTTACACCCGTAGAATGTCCAAAGGGAACAGAGGCGTACATACGTGAAGCATTTGGTTTTGGGTATGATTCTAAAAACGATGACTATAAGGTTGTCAGGGTGGTCGAAGTTCGGGATGCCAATGGCAGGTACTTGTTTTCAGAAACTAAGGTTTATAGCTTGAAATCAAATTTGTGGACAAGAGTTGAGGATTTTCCCTACATTCTGCCTAATAATAAAAGAGTATGGGGTGTTCATGTCAATGGTGCTTTGCACACAGTTGTTCAAAAATGTCCACACTATGGCTCTAGTCAATCTATTATAGCATTTGATGTTGGCACCTCAGAGCTCTATGAGGTACCAGAAATGGACCTGACTGGTGAAAATATCGGCATATCTTCAGTTGAGGCAATGGGCGGCTGTCTCACTGCTCTTGTCCCTAAAAAGATGAATACAAGCGAGATCTGGGTGATGAAAGAATATGGAGTGAAGGAGTCTTGGACTAAATTGCTGTCCTTCGTTCCACCAGTCCCTGAGCTTTACATGGGTTTGTGCCCTTTAGCTTATTCAGAAAGTGGTGATAAGGTTCTCTTGGATTATGATGGTAGATGCCTTATTTGGTACGACTTGAGAAGACAGAAAGCTAGTAAGATTAAGTCTATTCGTGGTTATCGTCAATCTCTTTATGCTCTGGATTCTCTTGGTCCCCCATTTCATGCTGAGCTTTGTGTCGGAAGCCTTGTATCGCTTTATAGCTCCAGTGAAACTGATTTGACTGAAAAACAAAAAGGACAAGAGAAAAACAAAGAAAAGAAGATTGCAAAGAAGAGGTAATGCCAAATAACTATTAATCTAGTATGTATCTTTACTGTTTGTTGGTTCCATCATTATTTCGTTGAAGTGTTAGTATGTGGTGTATGAATTGGATTTTCTTACTTGCTTGTCCAACAAATCTAGCTATAGAGTTATTATATGTTTTAGATGGAAGATAACATGTTCATCTTTAACCTAATAGTTTAACCAGTGATCATGTTTCTCTTCAGGGATGATTTTCTCTCAGCTGGATTCAAACTGACCCTCTGAACCAATAACATGTGGAGGTCGGTGTAGAAAAGCGGCAGATTCATTTCTTCTGCCAAGAAATTTTTGGTTACTAGAAAACTAGTCCTTTCTCCGAGTCAAGTGATGTGTTTTTTATTTTTTATTTTTTCAGTTAGTAGAATGATATGTTTGGTGAGATTAGAAACACTATCTATCTGTTAAGTTATGTTGATGGGAACGGTCAAACAAAACTGGCTTCACTTTTCTCAACAGGATATTGCTAATTAGAGTGGCTCAAAGGCTAACTGTCTCAATATGCATTCAAGGACACTTATCTTTTTCATATATCTGTGGCAACTGTTAGCTCCAAAAACACCTTCTGTAATTTGTCTTGCTTCTATGTTGTGATGGCAATGTGGTTTTTATCTGCCCCCATACCCCTTGATCTGAAAATGCAATTGCATCCTCTTGTGTCTGAAATCATTTTGTGACGAGAGAGAGTTTGAATGTAATGCACAAATTACTGAAATTAATACTATGCTTGAATTGTTGAAATTCCTAGTCATGTTTTTGTTTCCTCCGTCGTGATTTTTAAGGGAGGTCTAAGCTCATTGTAGAATTCAGGCTTCCTTCTCTGAACCGTGTCTCCAGCTTCATCTGACTGTTGCTTTTGGCTTAGTTAGGAACATTAACATAGAAAAATGCTGTGCCCTCATTAGCTATCAACTGCCTTTAAGAGCATGTCTTACGATTGGGAAAAACCAATTTACTGTGTAGGCAGACTAGGATAACAGGATCTTGCAGCCATTAGAACAAGTTTTCATAAGACCAGTTGAGATTTTCCTTCTCCTATTTTGTTTCCAATGTCTAGCAAATTGTTGATCACAACCAATGTCTTGTCGTGGCTCCATGTTAATAAAATTTATTTCTGCCCTCTTCATACAATCTTCCCATTTTATTTTATGCTCTAATGTGATGCACAAAATATAGCATCCCAAACTAATTTTTTAGTGGTCGCTTACGATAATGCTACATGCATGGGCAAGAAAAGGGAGTAAGGACACTGACATGTCTAGGTAACATGATTGTGAAGTCTGCTGGTAGGGGAACCCTTAAACTAATAATGATGGAATTCAAATTTCACAAGTTGCCCAACCAAAATTAACACACAATATTACCATGTAAATGAACTTCTTGGTTCTGTTCACGTCAAAGCAAATCTGAAATGCAGAATTGGATTTTTTTTCCTCGAACGAAACGGTTTCTAGCATTTTGAATTCCAAGAATTTCTTTCATTTCATTATTTGAAAATTTTCCAATTTTCTGCTTATAATTTATCTAGGACATGTTGCGTAGAAAACACCAAACCATGACAGTATCTCTATTATACCATCATCTTCAACTCCAAAACTTCGAGAAAGTCATTCAGTCTTTTGAGTCCCTTGGTTCCAACAATGGCAGCATACTTCTTGGACCTCTGCTTGGATGATGAGAATGTACTTTGATCCTGCAAGTAAAGCCTTGACAACATGCTGAAATTTCAAGGTGGCCTTATGCTGCTTGTCGTGTTCATCAATGGCAAACTGGCCATTTTCTTTTTATCTACTATTTTGATTCCAGAAACACCATCTTTCTGGCTGATATCACTCCATCCACCAAATGCAATGGTGGTGCCAATAAGAACCGAGCCAACCAAGGACAACTGGATTATGACAAGGAAGAGATTTGATTTAAGACCCATCTTAGAGTTGAATGTTAATTTGAGGAATGGAAGAGTGTTTGATGATTTTTAGTAGTTTGTTTTGATATTTATAGATATAATGGACATTACGAGTTGCCTTTGATTAGATTGTAGAAATCCCACTTCAAGAGATCTCTTAAGACGCATAGATGAATTGTCGAGATCTTATTTCTTCTTTCTGGTCAGTTGTATGGGTGAGATCAGATTTATCTGGCAAGTTCACCAATGTATTAATATTTCTTTTATCTGGTTCTTGATCATTTTATTTTTTTTATTTTTTAATTTTTTTGCTGTCACCTGTTTTTATTTGGTTTTTTTTGTTAAAGAACATGTTGCAATGCATCATGATAGCATTACCAGAGCTTCCTCTCACTTTGCTCGATCCCATCTATGACCCAAGTTAGGATCCCAATTATGAGAAAATAAAATTCATTGAGATAAATATGGATTCAATAATTGTGAAATTCCTGCAGGTCGCAACATTTTCAAACCCAGTATGTTTGTTGATTCTTTCTGTTTATCAATACAGCTCGTATGCAGTAGTTCCACTGATACAAAAAATAAAAACCAAATAATTAAAGAACAAGAAAATATAAGAAAAATATGAAAATAATAAATCACACAACAAACAAGATTTTTGTGGAAGAATAGGAGAATCTCTTATACCAAGAAACTAAAATTGTATTTACAAGATTTAATTCTCTCAGTTTAAATTTAAACGATTCTCTCAAGTTGCTAACATGTATAACAATGATCTTATGTTATGTTGAGTTTACGAAGAGCTTACACCTTGTGGATTATTTATAGGAGTCAAATCTTGAAGTTATGGATAAAGTAGTCTTTAATTCAAAATACCTTATCCAAATCAAACTCTCAATGCATCATGAAATTTGATCACATATCTATCTAGACTTTTAAACTAATATTATCTAGTCCTCCTTCATGAACTATAATTCCAAATCACATGGAATTTGTGTCACAACGTAACAAACTCCAATTTGACATAAATTCCAAAACAATAAATTAAGTTTTCACTCTTCAAGTCATTTTCCAACTCTTCCACCATGTCTTTTTTCTAGCACACCATACCCCTGCCGAACATGCTCAGCAATTGTAAACTAACTCTAAGCTCTGCTTACCAATAGAACTACATTGCGTGCCAACTTTACTTGAATCATCCCGTTCACCTCCAGCGCCAATCAAGTCAATAAAACTGCTCGAATCACCATGAGCATTTCCAACCTCACTTAAATTGTCAAATCTGCTCAAATCACCATGAGCAACATGATCTCCAATATCATAACTAACTCCACCAGAGCTGCTAGAAGACTAATATTATTGTTTGAATCACCACGAACAAATCGATCACAATAGACTCCACCTGACTCACCACTTATCAAACCATAAGCTGCATCTACATCCACAGTGACCGGCTAACATTGTAACACATATAACAAGGACTTTCTCTGCCCTCTTAACACAATTTTGGTACCTTACTAACTTTCAAAACTCTACTTCCACTAGTATAATTTTACCATTTTGAATCTAGAATACTCGTATATATTACATTCCTATTTATTCCTAGAACATGTCAAACCTGACCAAGTTTCCTAAACATCCCATCAAACATCTTGATTCTGACATTACAATCTCAGCTATTTTACAAGGTTCATTATTTTCCATCATCATGGAACCCTCGTAATTGTTTCATATGAAGAAGACCATTCCTGATTTGGATAATTATGAAAAGTGCAAGTTGAGTTAAAAATCCAATCATCGTCAGGTTTCGAGTCACTATCAGTAATTGCCAAAAGATCTCCATTACTGCAATCTTCTTCTACAAGAGTGGCATCATCATAATCTCCTGGTTGTTCCTTTTGATCTATAGTAGCAAACTTGTTTTGCTACTTGTAGCAATCCCTCTTCATGTGCCTCTTATTGTTGCAATACCAACAAACTATATCATTGTTGTTATCCTTGACTTTGTCCCTTTCATGACCATGTCTTCCTCTCATGAATATCTTGACCCTTTGCCTAGGCCTCAAATCAAACGACCGGATACTTCATCTTCTCCTTGAAATAAAACACATCATACATCGTCAATAGTAAGAGTATTTCGACTAAAGAGAATGGTATATCTAAAAGTCATATATGAAGGCGGCAATGACCATAACAATATCAGCCGTAAATCCTCTTCATCATACTTAACCTCCATGGTCTCCAAGTTAACGGCTATTTCTTTGAACACCGATAGATGATCTTCCAAAGATTCACCTTCCATCAAGTAATGAGAATACAACCGCTGCTTCAAGTGTAACTTACTTGTTAAGCTTTTTTATCATACAAAGTTGTTCCAATTTTAATCACAACAAACGGCACTTTTCTCTTTTTCCACGTCATAATGAATTTGAATAGAAAGATGAAGATGCATTCGTGATAGGACTTTTTGATTTGCCATAAAGAGAATCTCCTGTTGCAATGCGAAAGTGCTATATCTAATTTCATATTTGTCATCCTCAAAACAATTGACCCTTCAACCTCTCTTTAATATTTAATTTGGATATTACAAGAAATAGCCGAAAACCTTCAACTCTAATACAACTTGTTATAATTTGGATTGGATCTGGAACCACTTTGTTGAAAGCGGAGCAGCTCTGATATTAATTTATTGAGAATTCGGCCAAATAGTTAAAGAATGAGAAAATATAGACAATATGAAAATAATAAATCAGACAACAAATAAGATTTTTGTAGAAGAAGGAGAGAATTTATTATAGCAAAAAACTAAATTTGTCTTTATAGGATTTAATTCTCTCAATCTAAGTTTAAACAATTATCTTAGGTTTCTAATGTATAGAACAATGATCTAATTGTTATGTTAAACCTATGAAGAGCCTACACCTTGTGGAGTCTTTATGGAAGCCAAATCTTGGAGTTATAGATGAAATAGAGTTCTTAATCGCAAAGTCCTTATCGAAATCAAACTCTCAATGCATGACGAAATTTGATGCCTTATATATCCAGACTTCTAAACCAAAATTATCTAGGCTTCTTCCATGAACTATAATCCCAAATTACGTAGAATTTGAGTTACAACCTAATAGTGTTCGTCGACGGCAAACGGGCCAATTTCCACAACCTTAAGGTCTTTTCGTCCAATATTTTCAAATCTAGCAAAACCACCCTTTAGGGCACCAAATGCAATGGCTGTTGTGATGGCGACGATGGTAATAAAAATTGAGGCAATCAAGGAAGATCAATGAGGAAAAGGATGAGATTAGATTTAATAACCATCTTAATTAGATATAAAAGTTGATTTTGAGGAATGCAAGAATGTTAGATAAATTGTTTATAATGTGGAAATTGTGGTAATTTTATTTCGTTTCAAGTTTTGGTAAGTCAATCTACCTACCACGACCTATTATTTTCTTACTCCTATCAAATCTATCAATATTTCCACTTTAATTTAACTTTTAAATTTTTTGTTGACGAAAAATGTTTCCATGTCATCAAACTGTTTGTTAATTCTTTACGTGTTATCAGTTTACGCGGAAATGT